AGTCCATGGTATTCTCAATACTCTTCTCCAGCACCACAGCTCAAAGGCATCAATTCTTCTATCCTCCTTGGTCATTGTCCAACTCTCTGATGCATAACAAGTGATTGCGAAGACCATGGCCTGTATCAGGCGCACCGTACCATAGGACTGCAAAAAAAACCCACCCAAATCTATCAAGGAATTTCAACTAGAATGATCCTTGGAGGCAAGGATTTCATCTCACAGATTTTGAACATACTGTTGTTGTTGCTATTAATTGTTGTCGAGTTGAATATGCCTCATAGCAACCCTATGAACAACAAATTTTAATCTTGTCCTCACCTATGCTGCCCTCACCATTAAAGATGAAACTTTGTCATCCTTACCTCCAAGGAGCACTCCAGCTGCATCTTTTCCCAGACATACCTTCTTTTGCCAGTCCATGGTATATTCTCCAACACTACAACTCAGAGGCATCAGTTCTTCTTCTGTCCATGGCCAAGACTATAGCTAAGACCACACCTTAGTTTTCAGACTGACTTCAAAGCTCTTCAGTATTTTGGAGAGGTCCCTGACTGCTGAGTTGCCCAAAGCAATATGTCTTCTTTTATCTTGACATCAACGGTTTTGATTATGCATCTACAAAAAACAAGAACTTACTTCCTGGAGAAGAACGTCATGCATGGTAAAATAGAAGGTGAATGTAGAAAGGGGGTGGGGAGGAAAGCCCTCACTAAGATGAACTGATACAGTGACTGCAGCAATAGCAAAAAGTTAAACATAGCAAAAGTTGTGAGCATGGTACAAGCTGGGCAGTGTTATGTAGGGTTGCTCTGAGTGAGAATTGGCTCAACTGCACCTACAGTAAAAAATACTTAATAAATAAAATGTACAGATGCAAAAAGACATTATTATGCATTTCCCCCAATTTTGGATGTTCTTCCCTCATATAAATTAAATGTCTAGTTTTAATAACCAATTTACTATGGTTACCGTTTCTTTTTTTCTAATTGTCTTCTGATAGGTCTTTACTATTTTCTTTGCTTAATTTCTATGGTTCTGTTTTGTATCTTTACCATAAAATGTTTTAAAATCACCTTAAAGTAGCTAGGAAGTAATTTTTTTTTGAAGCAAATATTTTATTTAAATCCTTTGTCAAACCACAAATTGCTAGGAAGTAATTTAATAATAATGTGTTATTTTATAAATTGGGATGATTCATTTTGTCTTTTAATACATTTGGAAAAATAAATTCTAAATTGACAAATTATTACATTTAAAACAAAAGTACAAATTCCATTTTAGAGTCAAAATAATTTGTACTTAGAACTAAATACTAAAGTTATTGTTTTTTATTACCTTTGAGTCAAGCACGACTCATAGTGACCCTATGAACAAAAGGCTTGAAGCCCCTCTGCAACTATTGATATTTATCAAAGTTCATAGTTTCTGGAGGCATGTTGTTTAGAAAGTGGATGCCACTCCTGCTTTCAAAGTGCTAAAGTACTTAGTACTTTACTAAGTACTGGAGTATTTCGTAAATAAATACTTAGTCAATGCTCTTAAATTGTGAAGAACACTTGAAATAGAATTGAAGGGAAGTTTTACATCACCTTTTTTCTCTGTATCTTTCTATTATGTTCCATTGCCTTCAGACCCAGTGAAAATAACAGCTTTCTGAACATGACTAGAAGTAATTGTTGTCCAGTCAACACCACTCATAGTAACCCCACGAACCAGAGCAGAAATGTGTTCATAGTTATCAACTGTGATTTTCCAGAAGTTGATCAACAGGCCTGTCTTCCAAGGCGTCTCTGGAAATTTGCCTCCAACCTTTCAGTTGGCAGCTTTCCATACCACCCATTGAATCTTTACCCTGGCCAAGGGAAAATGAAAAACAAAACCAAAAAAAGCATTGTCCTTTAGCCAGTTTAATTCCTCTACTATTAGAGTAGAACTGAGAGCCAATGAAGGAGTTTGAATGATCAACCTTCTGATAGTACCAAGTGAAAACCTTCTATACCACCCAGGGACCTCTGAGCCTGACCCAGACTTTTAAATAGATGTCCAGGACAATAAAGAAAAAGTACTAATTCATGAACTTGTTGGCCAGTTATAAAGAATACATGTGACTACAGAACCTTGTCCAGATTTCTCTTCTTACCTTGACGGAAGTTAATAAACCAATCAGTTGAGGCTTAAAACCTGCTTAATAAGGACTATGATCTGGATCTTTCTTAACTTGATCAAAATCAGCACCTGACCTACAACCAAGAGAGAATAAAATAGATGAATGGGATCTTCTAAGAATCAAATCTCTATGCACATCAAAAGACTTCTTCAACAGGGTAAAAAAGGAAAGCAGCCAGAGACTGGGAAAAAATATTTGGTAATGACATGTCTGATAAGAGACTTATATCTAAAATTTTTAGAATATTCCCCCACCTCAACAAGATAAACCAATTGCAAAATGGGCATAGGATATGAACAGACACTTCAAAAAAGAAGACATTCAGATGGTGAACAAACACATGAAGAAATGTCCAAAATCCTTAGTTCTAAGAGAGATGCAAATCAAAACAACCGTGAGATATCTCACCCCAGTAAGAATAGCAAAGTTCAACAGAGCAGCAGATAACAAATGCTGGTGAGGTTGTGGAGAACCTGGAACCCTTATTCACTGTTGGTGGAAGTGTAAAATGGTGCAACCACGATGGATGGCAGTATGGTGCTTTCTCAAAAAGTTGCAAATACAGAGCTCTGGTGGCCTGGTGGCAAGAAGCTGAACTGCAATCCCAAAAGCACTCAGTTTGAATCCACCACATGCTGTGCTGGAGAAGCAGGGGCAATCTCCTATACCAATCAAATCTGATTTGATGGTACACACACACAAAATAATAAATTTTTTAAAAAGTTGCAAATAGAAACATCAATTGACCCAGCAATTCAGCTACTGGGAATATACACTAAAGAAATCAGAACTGCCACTCAAACAGATATATGCACACCCATGTTTATTGCTGCATT